CGAACAACGTTGAGACCGGCTATTGAATCACTGTCAGCGAAAGAAAATTACGGGGATCATCGGACTTCGCCGTACATCTGCGGAGAGCATTGATCTTCTCCACCGAGTTGGTCTTGGGGCCTGCAATGTGGGAACCAACGTTAGCACCATTCATACGAATTACTGAGACTCAGTATAGGGTGAGGGGAGGACAAGGGGACTGTGAGAGTTTATGGTAAATACATACCAATGGTGCCAATGATGGAGGTGCGGCGGAAGTTCTTCGCGGGCACCATCTCCGTGTTCAGCTTGGAGTGCCACTCCAGCTTCATACGGTTACTCAAATGGTCGAGAGAGTTGCTAGCGGCCATTGTGAAAGCTTCCCTGTCTACACTGAAAGGAAGAGGAAGAGAAGATTGATTGGGGGGAGAGGAAGTTGTGATTTGGATGAATGGAAGAATTGGGGGGGAAGAGGGGGGGGGAGATGGGCGATAAAAAAAGATCGGAGAAGTTGGCCAGAGAGAGAGGGCCGGTGAGCGAGGGGCTGCTTTGGGTTTGGTTTGATTTGCGGGAGTGGGTGTGTGCCCGGGAGGGAAAATGTTGTTGGCCGCCTTTCTCATTAGTTGGGAAGGAAGAAAGAAGTGTTGTCCAGTATCTCCGGTTGGTTCCCCCGCGGGCTGGCTCAACTCTGGCATTTTTCCCTTTCTTTTTTTTTTTTTTTATCTTTTTCCTTCTATTCCCCTTTTCACAACATTGAACGTATCCGCTACCAGTAACTATTACCTATACGTATTATTCATCTGATATCTATAACTATCAACGTTTTTTGGTCACCCATGAAAAACAAATGATCAATGACCTGTCGGAGGTCCCAAAGAGGAAAGAAAACCAAGAACCTCCATCAACTGCAGTGCCATCTGGCAATGTTTTCCCACACCCCACTTACAGGGCAGACCAACTTCACCCATTCTTGCCTTATCCACCTCTGTGAGGCGTCCCACCTTCTATCTACTACTAGTATATGATGTGTACTATCACGGTGGCTCAATGCCACATGATAATATACCGTGTAATATCTCAAACAACCCTCGACGTCAGACCACTCTCCCCATAGCATACGAATGAAGTCACGTCGTGACGTATACTTGACAAAAGTTATTGTTTCAGAAAACATCATCAAATACCTTGTGATTCTCGGATGGTCTGACTTGGGAAGAGGAATCTCCTTTCAGGGACACCGAGGACACCGAGTACAGGAATCAATCTACACCAACTGTACTAACGTGGTAGTCTCTTACTCCGTGCCAAGGCTCATGGCATGCAGCGAGGAGTTGTCCAGTCTGAGATAGTGGGACTGAGGCAGCCAAACGAGATAAGCATAAATACCACAGCATAATGAAGTATACTTCTTCATGACTAATCTCTGATCTGCATAACTCTGGTGCCCTTATCCTCTAGCTACTTGTGTGCAAGCGCAAAGCTCCAAATATAGCCAGCCACTTCCCCAGCCACATCCCAGCCTCCCGGGCCCCATCTCACCGCCTGTCACTCGCCCACGTCATGTGAAAAGGCACGTGAGCCAGCTGAACCTCCCCGAGGCTGTCCTCGCGGGGAGTACCTCTTCGTTCCTTCTGCATATTATCAGTCAAATTTAGCTCTCCAGCTCCTAATTCTAGAGCCACACAAGACGTATATACCACGAGCTCTAGCTAATCCTCTGCACTCGGTGTGAACAAGTCCAGTTTCATCATTCAGCCCTGATATGGTCACCATGGTACGTTTCTTGCTCCCCGATAGCTCGCTGCTGAAGTATTGACTTGTCTTTTTTTTTCTGGGAATCCCTGCTAATCGTTGGACATTTTAGTTCGGCCGACTCACCCATTACGCTTTTGACGCTGTTCTTTGTAGGCCCTCCTCTGTTCTCTGTTATCCTATAGTCAACAGATACTAATGGTCACATAGTCTCTGCCTTTTTGGCGGGTGTGAAGCGTTCGACTGGTCTTACGTAATTTCACCCTTCCTACGCATGATTTGTCTGTTCCTGTAGCCTGTCAATATGCAATAATGGCTATGGGCTATGATTATTCAAACGATTGCTGGGATCTCGCTAACCCTGTCACCCCGCGCCCCCATCGGGGGAACTGCGTGGGGATCTTCACAGCCCCAGTCTCGACTCCGACAAAATCACCGATAACAAGGATTTTAAGAAATGGATCGATAGCTACCTCGGCGTTGGCGAGTGGGTGATGGATCAGTCCGTTGCCGTCCTAGGCTCCACCAGCTATTTCGAGCGCAAGCGGTGAATTATCCACTCCGGATTATCCGGATAAATCGAGGTGACACTTCGGGTGGAGATTGAATTGATGCCGGAGGTGCGCCCTGGGTTTTTTCCCTATCTCAGCTTGGGAAGAGTTCGTCAAGGACAGGAGGACATCCATTGTTACCCGCTTGGAACATCGTGTCGAGAGTGTGCGTGTCTTGTTAAAATAAAATATCAAGAGAGCCATCGTGACTGAAATTTGGGGGTCCTGCATAGCGGTATGGATTATGATTGACGATTACCTTGTCCTTTATCAGGTCCGGTATGGGGGACCGTGGCGTTCGGAACTCTCACCTTGACTGTATATCTTGGTTTCAGCTTGGCATTATATTCGCTTTACATGGATCCCCATTCTACTCTCCCGAGTATACTCGTTTGTACATAGGATTGCCGGCCCCGGTGCTTCAAGTTGCCATGTCTCCTTGTGCTATCCGGGGAATGATATGCTTTCTTTCCTACCTTTCTGGCATGTGTACGTTTGGTCTACAGGCTCGGGCAGCTTTGGTACAGCTGGTGCGAGTCTAGCGGGCGATACTGAGTAGCAAGATAGTGTCGCAGGGGGTGGATTGGATGCGCCAGGGATCCTTCCTGGTTCCAATCACACTTCTTCAAACTTGCCATCCCTGGTTGGTCTCCGGTGCACGGGCTCCAGTATGATTCGGAAGCCGCCTTAATGAACCGGATGCTCACTCAAGTCATCAGGGTTGGCCTAATACGTGCCCATCGAGGGGTGTTTGACGCACCACCCATGGTTTTATGTCATCTGGACAGTGCGTACACAACTGCCATAAATATATTTGAAGCATTATCTCTCATGGAGGGGAGCAAGTAGTAGGCACGAATCGTAACGTCGTCAGAATTAACCACACATCCGCTCATATTCGAATAAGTTCGTCTATGTCGAGGCGGCGGAAATACGAGATATGTCCCATGGTCTCCCAATAGTGAGCTATACAATCAGGCGAGATGAGAATAAGTTGCGAGGCGATGAATGTATCTAAGTATCGAGTCAGAACACGCTACAACAGGGCAGGCAATTCGATTCAGCTTACCGTCTCTAAACCCGAGACCTGCGACATGTCCTCGACTACGCACAATCCTCGCCCCTCGGAAAAGCGATTCATCCGCAACACGGACAAAACCCTTAGGTCCAATATCATCCGATATAAATGAGAGCTCGCCTCGAGGGACATTGGGGTCTCCGGTTAGTTTGATAGCCTCAAGGCTACCCTTCTGGATAATGCCATCGTGAAGGAACTCAGACTCGCCCTCCTCGGGCGTATCGTCAGGCCCATCTTCGCTGTCACGTTGTAAGAAGAGTATAAATTCACATCCGTGAGCAGAGTAGTCTCCAATCCATATACCCTGGTAGGGTTTTTGCCTGGTAGGCGTATATAGATGCGGATCAAGTGTCGCGTAGGTCGATAAGGTCTCACTTCGGCCAGCGGCAAACATCGGCATGCCCAGACGAAAATGCGCCCATCTTCTAATCCGAAACGCATTTTCCGACATTAATTCCAGGACTCCAGGATTACGCTCCCATTCTGAACCGTGCGATTCGGGGCTCCGATATACGCGATTTTGACTGGGTACAATGGGTGGCGGCCATTGCTTATATGGGTCGGGATCCGGAGGAGGTCCCTTGGGGCAAAAAGACAAGGAATTAAAGACCTGCTGTGATTCCAACGGCAAGGGCATGCGGATCTCTCCGCGCAGATACTGCCGTTCAGCATCGTGGTTCCTCAAGAGTAAAATAGGACTGTCTAGCCAAAGGCTAGGTTTCGGATGGAAGGTTTGAATGATAACTTCTGGATTCCATTCCCAGATCTGGAACTTGTGCGAAGGCGAACGACGTTCTGCAATAACCCGATACGCCTCTATAACGCCTCGACGGTGATCATAACGGGCCAGAATTAGATTGCCCGTGTGCTCAGTATCTGAAAACCAGATCTTTTTCTGGGGGATGAACCAGCACGGATGGTACGCAATATAGAGGCTGCGAAAGGAGTCAAATGGACCCGGATCGTGAACTTTCTCTGGTAAGTATGAGTTGACCACGTTGGCCCACAGCAGATCGTTAGCCGTGTGCTCAGTCAAGCAGCGACAAGTGGCCGACAGACGAGCGAGGTCTTGTGCCGAAAGATAAGATAGAACAGAATGTAAAAGTTCGGTCGGGAGCTGTAACAAGGGCGATTCTATGTTCAGGGCGGTATTGGTGTTCTTCCGCATGTCAGGCAAGACTTCATCGTCGTCGATCTCTTGTACTGTGGGCGTGTGGCACATCTTCTCCACGGCCAGGCTAGTCCTGGATTTCAAATCCATGAGGGAGGAACAGCCATGGGGAGAGCTCTCTCGGATGGAGAAACAAGCACGTTTGTAACGGGCAAAGTCAAGCACTAGGTACGAATCGGGCCGATCCAAAGTTGCTGATCATGAAAGGCAAGTCAGCTATCAAGGGGGAAAGTTGACAGAGGGAGAGTAGGGGGAGTATGAAAGCCAAGGCAAAAAGGATCGACATCAATCCAGTTGCTTTGCTGGTCGGACGGATGACATCACTGGGGAACAGCATGACATGAGGGGAAATAAAATACGTACACTTAAAATACATACAGTACTGTATGTATCTACATTCATACTATGTACTAGTAGGAGTAGAGCTATGTACTGGATTCACTATACAAGTCAACAATGCATTACGAGAAGATTGCTTCCGCTTTCCTCATCGTAATAATAGTTTTCACGAGTTTGATACACAACAGGTGTCATCATATCAGTTAGAACACGATCGGACAGGAATGTCAACCTCAGGCAGAATTCGGTCACCTGATGCCAGAATTGTTTACGTCTTCCCGATTGGGAAATGAGAATGGATCCATCAACGCGTATGGATGTGCGGAAGGCACGAATAAGTTGCTTCCTTACTTGAGGCTCGCAGTAGTTGAAAGCATCGATTGTTTGTTATTGATTCACATCTCCTGGGGCACCGGCACCGGCATCATCCAAATACAACATCTCTCCCATTAAGACACTCGCGCTGGCCAAGTATTTATATAATCGTTCCAATTCCCATACTTACCTATATATATACATACACACAAGAAACCAGTGCAAACAAGACACCACTATGAACACCAGACAAACGCGGAGAAAAAGAAGTATCAGTTCGATCTCTAATTCAGAGCCCCGCACTTCTACCTCATGCAGGAGCCCTCGTGTGTCTGGGGGAACTGCTCCGGTCCCATCTTGCGAAACCCCACGCCAACAAACTAAAAGAGTTCGCTTCTCAGATCCCGGTCCGCGGCTGGAAGGGCACTGCCCTGGATGCTCTACAGGCCTCACTCCGGCACTGATTCGCACATCGTTCGAAGAACCCGATGATCCCACAAATGGCATCGATTGCACCCCAAGTCGCCGGCTGCGGCGCCGCTCAACCCCACTTGCGCAGTCTCGTCGTTCGCTGGAGTCTGTACTGCCCATTGATGGATCCAAGTCAAAGACAGTGGTGCAGTTTACGCCTTTACGGCAAATATTGGACTCCCGGACTCAGCGGAGAATCCGGCGACTGGGCCTGAGTACTGAGATTAACCAATTTGAACGCGAGAAGCGGGAGTCCGCGCATTACCAGAAGTCTCTGCGAGCTCTGCTGCAAGAAAGAGATACCTTAAAGCAAGAGCTGGAGTTAGCAAAAGGCAACAGCGGCACTCCAGAATACCATTCACCCAGAAAGGAGATTCTCCAGTTATCGCCTCGGTCTAAGCTGGAGCACCTAGAGTCCCAGAACAGTCAGCTGAGGCAAGACACCTCGTTCTCCGCTATTAAGAACGCGGATGATCAATCGGATGGCGCTGATACTGAAGGCGACACCATCATCCTTGACAATGGGTTTGAGGGAGACACAGTTCTCATGTCCGATTCTCCAATTATGCGTGGCTTACAGCTTTCTCGACAATCTCCAGATGATCTCTCTTGCCTGAGCCTCCCGGACCCCAGAACGGATGCATCAGTTCAAACGTCCCTGTCTGGTAATGACCAAAGCGCAGAGTTTCTTGCTTTGTCACTTGACTTGGAAGCTGCTAGAAAGGAGAAACGGGATCTGTTCAACGCATGGCGTACGAGGCTTGCTTCCTTCTCAGAAACTGCGACTGAACCTTGCCTCCAACGGTCGTCTCCCCCGCCAGACTTCTTCGATCAAATTTTGCCTACACTAACAGGAGCCCTCACCAGTGCTTCAGACGCTATCGGTGCATTGGACGCCGTCAAACAGGAGCTTTCTGGTCTAGGGTTTCCCGGCAGCAGCATGGACGAGATTATTTCGGAAATGCGTAGTCGGTTCCGATCAGCACGCTTACAGCTGGAGCGCGCAGTCCCCGGGGAAACGCCCAGCTCTAGCTTAGATAATGGAAATACAACCCTCAGCGCCCTTGTGAGGCGTGTCGAGCTGCTCGTTAAAAGCCTGAGTGACGAGCGCACCCGGCATGAAGGATCTCTTGGGCGGGAGCGGGCATTGCGCGGCCAATTCGATAACCTGTTGATCCGCTATGAGACCGCTTCAACGAAAATAAGCGATCTTGAAGAATCTATTGCATCTTCCGCAGGAGATATGCTCCACACGAGAATGCGGATGCAGGAACTTGAGCGTGAAGGGAAAGAGCAAGCCCTAGGGATTGAGAGATTGAACGAAGCCCTTAGCAAATACCGTGTAGAGGTCAAGACTCTTGAGAACCTCGTGACGGAACTCGAGCAGGACAAGGCTGTCTCTGCCACCAGACACGAGGAACAAATGTTACGACAGGAAAAGAGAGTGGCAGAAGAAAAAAGCGCCCGTCGTGTAGCAGAGTCGGCTATTGCAGAACGAGAGGCACGTATTCAGGAGTTGGAAGGGAGCGTTGAGTCGAATAAGATCCGTGTGTGTGATTTGGCTGCTAAGATTGAAGCACTAGAAAAGGAGCTCAAGCAGACGGTTGACAGTCACGAACAGCAAGCAGTCGAGCAACTCCAGCATCACCAGCAAGAGGTCGGCAGGATGAACGTCCGCATCGCTGAGCTGACCACATATCTGGACGCTACCAAATCTGAAGCGGACAAGCTTCGTCGAAGCAACGCTGGCTTGGAGGAACAGCTGCGCCTTGAAGTGGAGGCCAGGGACGATTTGCTAGAGAAATGGGCTGCAGACCAGGCACGGTCATACGCTTACATGAAGGAAACCGTCAAGGCAGAGCGACGCAAGGCAAAAGTACGCACTGCCAATTGGGAACTCAAGTCGGACGAGCTACAATCGGATGGCACGAACATCGGAAGCGAGCCCATTACTCCAGTTAGCGTGGCGCGATTCGTTGACGTTGAGGTCGGTCGAGGCAAGGAACGGCGGCGGCTTGACAGTGGTATCGGGATACTGACATCAGACGAGCTTTTCGAGAGCGTAGGTATCGACAATAATCCCCTACCTTCCGATCCCGCGGATCTCTAGCTGTTGTTCTATTCTGTGTAAAACACCTCATTGCTCTCCCTTGGTCGAATGTGTAGCATATCTACCACGTGGCGTTATTAATGTCTGGGACGTACTTTGTATGATAAATGCTCGCAATAACTGTTTGAACAAACTTGAATCACAATTGGTTACTAACTGTAAAGCCACTGTCATGGTGATCAACGAGAAGCGCAGGTTAAAAGAGGTCGATTGTCATAGTCCATGCGCGATGGGATCGACTTCGTGACTTTGGTCTTTGGAAGCACAGTGTTCACCAGGCTGTCAAGTGCCATGGCTAACAGTGATTGCACCGGCTTCTCGATATTACAGACAACATTGTCCTATTCAAAACGCTCCAAGGTTTGCACAATTGTGCAGGCTGCGTGGTTCATGTATGTCTCAGCTGTCAAAGTCAACCTCGGACGAGGACCGCATGAAACGCGGGATTTGCCATGAACGACAAGTCCGTTCTAATGCATCGCACTTGAAGTGTCTTGGACCAGTTGTCGGAGTGACTGCCCTCTGTTGCTTGAGAAATGAACGCTGTACTGTACTGTACTCTACTGTACAGAGGTTGTGCATATGTAAGTTACTGATCTAAAGATTAGGGCTTGAAAGATAAACAAGGCTCGGCACGGCTATCGGAGCGATGACGTCGGTTGGCATCGACCTTGTACATTTGCTGAATACTCTACACGATTGCGATTTAATTTGAAAGTACCGTGTAATCTACTGCTGCGCATACATCTACATGAGTATTTTCACCTCACTGACACCAAAGGATTGGAATACCGAACTATACAACTCCAGACTCAGTTAGATAAACCAACCACAGAACCACAATAGAGTCAACATCATGGCAGAAAACGAGACTCCAAAGTACCGTCTAAAAGTGACAGCTGGGCCCAGCTACAATCCCTCCACACATCAACTCGTCCCAGTCAATGAGGACCAAACCCTACGAATCGAAAACGAGCACGCAATCACGAGCCTCTGCGTCCGCATCCAAGATTACACAGGTAACAACAGCTCTGGAAAGGAGAAGATGAAGAAGAAAACCCAGACTAATTTAAACCACTGTAAAAGGATATCCGGACCACTCCCCAAGAACAAGCCCTTACTTCAACCATCCCCTCCACCAGTCAGACCAATATTCCATCTCCTTCGCCATCGTCTTCAAACACCCCGTCAACGCCAACTCCCTCCTCTTCGGCAACGACTTCGACCGTCCCATTCGCGACCGCTTGCCGCCCGGCTTCAACGCCGCTCTTCGCCTCGTCAAATGGACAATCGATCCGTCCCTGGACGGCGATGCGTACGCCGACAAACCGTACCTGTATAGCCCGGCCGTGGCTTCGTGGAACCAGCTCTGTATCGGGGAAAGGGTTAGAAAGGACGACGAGGTGCCGGGGATGCATGAGCGGGTCGTTGAAGAAGGGGGCGAGGGGTCCGGACTGGAGGTCAGAGAGCAAATGGGAGTTCCGACGAGTGTGAACGAACGGAGAAAGTATTTTCAGTCGGAAGAGGCGAGGACGGGGTTCGAGTTTGAAGAAGGAAGGGTTTACTGGGTGGATTTTGGGAACCCTTACTTAGGGTTTAATGGTTTGTTTCCCTCTTTTTTTTTATATATATTTATGTATAATTCTATTCTTGCTTTTTTTCTGTGCACAGTCGAAGTTGCTGATTTGGTCGTGGTAGATTTCTCACTTCACCTTCCGGGCATTACTATCAATGTTCTTCCCTACATTAATGAGGATAATCATTCGCTGCGGTATGTGTTGAAGCATCGGGATACCGATGAGGTTTACCTTGTCGTGCTCTTTACGCTTGTTTTGCAGGGAACGAACGAGGAGCCATTGCATAAGGAGGAGGCGGAGAGAATGAGGAGGGAGAGTAAGCAGCAACATGAGAAGAATGACGGGAAATTGGGCAGGTTTGAATGGGAGCCGGAGCCGTCGGCGGATGATGTGGAGTAAACATGCCATACAACATAGACGTATAGATACGTATATTATGTTTTGTTGAGTGATAGAACACCAAAGCAATATATTTTGTTTTTTATCTATGCCACATACATATACACGTGCCCTTAGTTCAGAAATACATCATCAAAGAACGTCCATCTACAGCCTCTTCAGCACATCATCAAGGACCTCCTGGGTCGTGGCCTTTCCACCCATGTCAGGGGAAAGGTACTTGCCCTCGTCCAGGTTGGCATCAACAGCAGTGTAGATCTTGGCAGCAGCACTCTCCTCGCCCAAGAACTCCAACATGAGGGCTACACTACGCAGGGTGGCGATAGGGTTGGCAATTCCCTGGCCCTCAATGTCGGGCGCACTGCCGTGGCAGGGCTCACCAATAGCAAAGCCGTCACCAACGTTGGCGCTGGGGACAAGACCCAAGCTTCCGACCAGGGCAGCCGCACCGTCGGACAAGATGTCACCGTAGAGATTAGGGGCAACAATGACGTCGTAGTACTCAGGCTGGCGGAAAAGCTTGTACACCATCGAGTCGACAATCTGCTCCTCCACCTCCACGGAGGAGAAGCGCTCGGCGGCAAGAGCCTTGCGGGCAGTCTCACGGAAGAGGCCGTCGGTTTGCGACAGCACGTTCGACTTGTGGGTGATGGTCACCATGGGCTTCGTGCGCAGGCTTGCAGTGGGAGCCGCGTCACGGATCTTCTGCCGGCGCAGGGCGATCTCTCCTGCAATGGTGGAAATCCGGTGAGAGGCATTCTCGGAGATCCGCTTGATAGCCTCGGCAACCCTGCCGTTGGGGGTGTCCTTAGTCTGCTCCTCCTTCACGTACAGATCCTCGGTGTTCTCGCGGACAATGACCAGATCGACAGGGTTCCGGCCACCGCCGACGGTGGTCTTGACTGGCCGGACGTTGGCATAGAGGTCCAGCTTCTTACGGAGAGCGACAATAGGCGACGAGTAGCCGGCGACCTTGGTGCTCGGGGAGCTATGGGGCGAGTTATTTGGTAAGATACAAAACACTCTGGTGAGAAGCAGCGTATTTACCTGACAGCTCCGAACAAAGCACCATCACACTCCTTCTTCAAGGTCTCGACAGTCTTGTCGGGCAGGGCAGTACCGGTTTGCTTGAAGGTATCGAAACCAGCGTCCAGGTTGACGAAGCTGAAATTGAGGTTGAGAGAAGCTGGAAGAGATTCCAACACTTTCCTACCGGCCTATATCATGGTGGCTGTTAGAACTTCCAATCACCTTTGCAGCAAAGAGCCGTCAAGCCGTGTGAGTATATACCGGAATGACCTCCCGTCCGATACCGTCACCGGGGATGAGACCTAAAGGATGATGTATTAGTTGAAGTTCGCACACACACAATGTACTACATATGAGAAGAGGATCAATTGACCTATGCGAAGCGTCCGAGCAGCAGCCATGGTGCAAATTTTGGGATTTTGGGGGGGATACTGGGTTGAGTAAACGTCCGGTCAACGGAGAGCCGTAATCGGAGTGAAGGTCATTGGGATACGGAGGCGGGAGGACTATTAATCCGGGGGGATAGCTTCAAGCAGAAGTAAACAAAGCTCATCATTTTATACTGGAGGCCAGCATTGAAGAGAAATGCAGACCAATTCATGCTCAGATGTTGATGGACTGATATTATGCTCATTCCTCTTTGTCTTGCCGGAAGCATGTCTTCATTGTGTAAAAAGCATTCATTGATATGCACTCGGAGTACATTAGATCGTACATGTATGTCTGTACATCCGGAGATATAAACAGGCATAAAATAGTGGACTCGAGTCTTGGCCATAGAATTGACTCCTGAAAGAACATGGGAGGAGAGTTCGAATACAGATCAATGACTCATCAAAACCTCGAGAATCGTTAGTTAGTTAATAATAGTACGTAGTATTATTATTATTATTATTATTATTATTAATCCTTCACAGCAAGGCACAAACTAATACAAGTAGTACAGAGTAGTGCAATGCAACCATCCATCGTCTAGAAAGAAATAGGCAACACAAGGCCTCTAGCCCCAGGCACGTATTATTCATCCATCCTGACCGGACCTGCAATCTGGCCTCTCAGGAGAGAGAGGACATTGCAGGAGATGCCATCGATGGGGCACGCCCGTTGCCGCGGCGGGATTATCGAACGTAAAAAGACCGGCAAGGGACTCCGTCAATATATTGGCCTGGAGCAATGAAGAGGAAAGGAAGCCTGTGACAAGGAGTGGGTCAAACGATGAAACTATGAGTCCACAATTAGTCGAAAGGAGTAATTCGCAGGAACATTCGTGACGAAGGGAAATCATTAAACTGAGGCGGATCCGCTGCCCCTGAAACCGCTGCCTCAGGCTTGCAGGGCGTGTCCCTCCACATCCGCGTTGCTGGGCCACTCTTCATTTCCCTCTCTTCTTCTCTTCTTCCCCCCTCCCCTTCCTCTCTCTTTCTCTTTCTCTCCTTTCCCTTTCGTACCGTCTGGTAATTTCAGTCCTTTTCTACCTTCTCAACGCGAATTTCCATGTCGGACTCATCATTCTCTCATTGATATTCCATTATGCTTGACGTCCACGTTGTCTCGCTAGATTGCTGATTCGTTCTCCACTCGAACTGTTGGCTCTGTTTATACCCATCACGTCACCACCCGAGAAGCGCGTTCTATCGTGTGCTGGCCGTTTTTCTGCTCGGATATCCTAGCAAGACTCTCCCTCCGGTCGTTCACCACCCAAGCTCGCGCCAACAGTCCACTACATTGATTCCGTTCACTTCGAGCATTGTCACGCTTCAACCCCCTTGCCTCCTTGACCCCTGAGCATCCTGACTAGACGCCATGCAGGATACGGGCGCTCATCCGGGTGTGAGGAGCTTGCTCGCCAGGTTCGAAAACAACAACAGCAGCAGCAACCGGAATACCACGTCCCCACCTTCCCGCGGTCGATCTCCCGTCGGTTCTGAGCACTCGGGTTCTAGGCCACTATCGAAAGTGCGTGCCAGCTTCATAGCTGTTGATGGAGCCACTCAATCTGGCGCCATTGCCGGGTTGAGAAGCGCAAGTAGTCGCAGTGACAGCCCAGCTGCTCCCCCGTCGAGGGTGAGGAGTTTCAATTCAGATGATCTGAACGCCCCCTTGAAAAGTCCCTTGTCGTCCCCAATCAGCAATGGCTTAGATAGCGAGCAAACCCCGAATGAGACCAGGTCAGGCGACATGGTGGAAACAGTGATCACACAAGTGGCCTCTCCCGAAAAGGGTGTAAGGCCTCAGGCCAAGGAAGCAGCGTCCCCTCATAAACGAAGCGACCCCATCTCGACCGTCTCTGCTGCGCCATCTCCGAAGAAGACGCAGACAGTCACTAAGCGTCCGTCCACCATCCAGGTGGATAAAGTTTCACCCAACCGGTCTGCGTCCAAGTCGACATCTACGACCCTGAAGTCTGCCGCGCAGCCGCGAACTCCAACATCTCCTGCCAAGCCCGACCATGCCAAGGCCTCTAAGCCAGCACGCTCCCCCAGACCTCCTGCCACCAGGGACGCGCCCAAAGCTCCAGTCACCAAGACAAGCCGTTCGTCTTTGAACACGACAGCCAAGACTGCTACGCGACCTGTTCGCTCTTCCATGCCGGCACGCGAGGCTACCAAGCCGACAGCGACAAGTGCATCCCGCACTAACAAGCCTGAATCAAGACCGCCAACCAAGTCGGCTCGTCTGCCCACTTCGGCAACGACATCAAATCTATCATCAGCCGCTAGAGGAGGAGCTACTGGAACAACTACCTCTAGCCTGTCCCGAAAGCCGTCAAGTTTGAAGAACGCGACAGGTGGAATCCACCGCACGACTACTACCTCCAGCGTTCGCAAGCAGGCATCCCAACCTTCCCTCCCGCGTCAACCAGCACATGACCGCCCGCATTCCCGAGTGAGCAACACCAGTTCTAGGGCGGTTGACGAGGGATTTCTGGCTAGAATGATGCGCCCCACCGCTAGTTCTGCTAACAAAACTCATGAGAAGGTTGAAATGAAGAGTCCACCCCGGCCTTCCCGGGTGACCCGGGCTCCGGTACGACCAGTTGCTTCGAAGACAGAAGCCCACAACTCGCGCCCAATGAAGGAGAAGAGTGTGGCTAAAAAACCACAGGAGAAGCCGCAGCCGGTGCCTACTCAGAAAGAAGAACCACAGCCCAAGGCAGTTGATCCACAGGAGGATAGTGCACATGTGAATGCTACTGAGCATCATGCCAAGGTTGCGGACGAGCCTGTTCAAGCGGTTATTGACGCGTCAGCTGAAGCAATCGAGAAGGAACCCACAACTGAGAAGCAGTCGGAGGATTTGCCTATCGAGCCCTCTATGGCTTCTGAAAACGCACCAGTTGGACCCTCTGATGCCGAGCAACCCATCAAAGCCGCAGAGGCCTCCGAAGAACAGACTCTCGCCGCTCCATCAACCGAAGAGCTCTCCATCTCTGCCGACGAGGCGGCAGATGCCCACAGCGTTGAACCCTCTGGGCTTTCGAATACTGAAGAGACCAAGGAACAGGTTGATGTTGAGTCTCCAGCTACTTCTGCTGAAGAGATGCCTGTTGAGGACGTTGCTAAGTCAGAGGTCAAGGTAGACGACGTTGATGTTGACCTTGGCAACTTGTCTCTCAACTGAAGAGCGAGCACAGTCAAGGCAATCATGGTGTTACATGAATGTCTATATTTACATCCATACTTCGCTTCTTGTGACTTATAATTTCTTCATACCCGTCTTATTCGTGATGCGACCAGATACATGTTATCGCCTGCGCGGACCTTTTTTTGCTCTTCTTTGGTTTACTTTTCTTTTGGTTTTTGTTTTGAAAGCATCTCATTCACAATATGAGCAGGGCCGACGATGTATGCATGTCGGAGCATTTTCTGGTGGAGTTCTAGATTCCAGTTGCTTTTAGCGTTAGGGGCCGCATATTATCCCACTTGCATATGTACTTGGGAGGAGTCTAATCAGGTTCTTGTTTCTTTTTTCAGCCCGTTTCACTTTTATTCGTCTATTTACCTTTTCTCTTCTCAAGCCTTTTTTTACC